CCTGATCTTCTCGACTCTGAGGACTTTCACTCCAGTGCTTACCACGGCTTTATTGACTGTAATGAGGCTGATTTGGTGCTTCTGGAAATGAACCACGTGGCTTTACTTCTGCATGAGGCTTTGTACCCCTCCTGTCTCCTCCGCAGCCCCATCAGCTCTCTGTCAGCCCTGCTCGTCCCTGTGCAGTCGTGTACCAGAGCCTGTTACCCATCTTCTCCCACTATAACAGGCTGAGTTCCTGCTGGGAGCCCCAGCATTATCTCTGTGTTACTGATACCTGCAGCAGAGCTGAGCCTTTCTTCCCACCTTGGGGCTGTACATTGCAGCCCCCACTTCTCTTTCTCACCTGAACCCTGTAGGACTCCTGATTTTTAAACTGTAGTCCCACCCTCATCTCACCAGGTTTGTTTTGTCCTTCTACTCGTAGGAATTTCATTTCCTCTTGCTTGTTATTCAGACTCCTCACATCTATATATAGCAACAGAAAACTCATTTTCTTCACAGACCCTCTTGTCTGCCTTTGAACCTCATTTATCCTTCTGTGTCCTTCTCTCCTGTTTAGCTTATTCCTTTCCTGGATGCATCAGCACTTTCCTCTGGGAAGGTGTCTTTCAAGTTGGGAAGATGCTGGCTCTGCAGTTAATGATCTCCGCGTTCCCTGCAGAATACTTCCATCACTCAAACCCAAATATTCTCAGCAGCAGCAGGAGCTGCTGTCTTGCATGAGAACAAGATACCAGCGACTCGCAGACTCCTGCCTGCTCCTACCAGATCCTGCTAGGTTTCTCTTGGCACGCTTCAGCTGTAGCATGGGGAAGAAGAAAGCCTGGCATGGTACCCTGCAGAGACTGCCAAACCTTGACTTAGACTTTCCTTTTCAGTTCTTTTCCAGGATCCTCGCAATATTTTTTCGTCTGCTCCGTTCCAGCTGATGGAGGGAGCTGCCTGCCCCACTTTGTCCAATGGCTTCTTTTGACCAGCATGATTAACCAGTATTTGCTGTCCTCTGTTGAAAGAGGAGGTCGATGACAGTCAGGTATCTCTTGGAGGTGGCCCTGCTGTTTCACAGGGTCTGTTTGCAGACCCTAAATCAAACAGCAGGAGAAGATTTTGCTCAGTATTCCAAGGTCATTTTTTCCTGCCAGCACCAGACACACACGTGCACACACGTACACATAGAGTAATAGAAGGGCCTGGGTTGCAAAGGAGCACAGTGCTCATCCAGTTCCAACCCCCTGCTATGTGCAGGTCGCCAACCAGCAGCCCAGGCTGCCCAGAGCCACATCCAGCCTGGCCTTGAATGCCTGCAGGGATGGGGCATCCACAGCCTCCTTGGGCAACCTGTTCCACTGCCTCACCACCCTCTGGCTCAAAAGCTTCCTCCTCATATCCAACCTAAACCTCCCCTGTCTCATTTTAAAACCATTCCCCTTGTCCTATCACCATCCACCCTCACAACCAGCCGTTCCCCCTCTTGTTTATCTGCTCCTTTCAAATATTGGAAGGCCACAACTTTGTCTGTGACACACGGCACGGGTGTTTCTCTGGCTGTCCTTGACTTCCTCGTGCTTTCCCGATGCTCTTCATTGATGTTTGTGGCTGTGGCAGGATGCCTGACAGCATGCCTCTCCTCTCTGTGCTTTACATACTTTTCTCTTCTACCAAAACAAAGCCTGATGCTCGTTGCTTGCATCCAGCTCTTTTTTTGCAGACATCTGCTCAGGCTGCTTTCTGGCTGGCCTCATTGGCTTAAAACTTCTCATCCAAAAATTCCACGTAACAGGATTGTCTCCGGTGGAGCTTTGCTGGGTGTCACAGCCTGCTTGAGCCTTGTGCTTTTACGTCATGGGGAGAGGGACAGATCTCACAGCTGGAGAATCCAAATCATAGAATCACAGACCAACAGGTATTACAAATTCAGAGAATCATAGAATCACAGAATGGCCAGGGTTGGAAGAGACCTCAAGGATGATGAAGCTCCAACCCCCCACCAATGCAGGATCACCAACCTCCTCATTTCATAGCTGCCCAGGGCCCCATCCAACCTGGCCTTGAACACCTCCAGGGATGGACGGGGCATCCACAGCCTCTCTGGGCAGCTGTTCCAGCACCTCACCACTCTCACAGCAAACAACTTCCCCTGACATCCAACCTCAGTCTTCCTTCCCTCAGTTTATAACCGTTTCCCCTTGTCTTGCTAAATGTTAGGCTATGGGAGACAGGAGTCCTGTTCCTTCCACATGTATGATTTACCTTTAGTCCACCATATCTTTCCTGTTTGGGGTATGGCAGGAAGGGCAGATTGCTGCCCAAATGGAACAGGAGAGAAATGAAACGTTGGATGATGCCCTGATAGCCACAGTGATGGCTTCACTCTTCCTCCAGCAAGCAATATCTGGCTATCTATCTACTGCAACCCAAAGGGAGGTTGGAGTAGGTCTGTTCTCCCAGGTAACAGCAACAGGACAAGAAGTGATGATCTCAAGTTGTGTCAGGAAAGGGTCAGTTTGCATATTAGGAATAATTTTCTCTCCAAGAGAGCAGTCAGGCACTGGCACAGATTGCAAAGGGAGGTGTGGAGTCCTCCTCCATAGAGGGCTTCAGGAACCATGGGGACGTGGCACTGAGGGATGCAGTCATTGGGCATGGTGGGGCTGCACTGGGCTTGGGGATCTTGGAGGTCTTTTCTAACCCCAGTGATTCCATGATTCTGTGAAAGAAAAGAAATGTTCACCACCCATTCGTGGTCATTTGGTTGGGTTCCTCCATTGTGCTCCTTATGGAGTCCTTTCAGATCTGCACAGGTTTTTAAATAGCACCAACTGTGTTCCACTTGAGGCTGTTCTGGTGTCTCGCTCGTTTCGGTTTGCAATTCAGGCTGATGCCTTTGATCTGTGAAGCTCTTGATTTGGATCTTATCTTCTCACAGACCTCTTTCCCCGGATTGTGCTGGCAGCCAGGATTAGCAGGATTACTTCACCAGCAATCTTGTTTTTCAATCTGAAAGACTTCAGCAGAGTTTCCTCCTGGGGTAGAGGTAGCAGTGATGCTGGAATTCATTTCTCTGTGATATCGAGGCTTTCTGGCTCTCAAGATAAGCTGCAGGGCTTACAGATCACTGGAGGCAACTGGAGGCAGCAGTCTGTCTGTAGTGATTTTAGGCTTTATCTGACCTTCCTATGATTCTACCTTTTTATTATTCTTTCAGATTTTTTGCTTTGTGTGTGAGTTTCTGTTAACCAAAAGACAGTGGTATAAATATGGGGGAAAGCCAACCATTCTGCATTCTTTGGCCTTTGGTGTCCACATGTCCTGGTGCTGTGCTAGCATCTTGGGAGGACATGGGCCAGCCCCAAGGAGCGTGAGATGGGCTCAGGCTGACTTGCTTGGTTGGCTTCTAAGAGATTGTTGTATTCAAAATTGATAACTTGAAACATAACACAAAAAGATGCTGGAAAGTCTTGAGGACCAACAGGGCTTGAAACTGGATGATCATTGTGGTCCTTTTCAACCCAGACCATTCTATGATTCACAAAGGCCCTTTGGTGCCACCTGTGTCTGCTGTCCAGCAGAGGAGGGATTGGGATTGGCACTTCAGGACCTTTCTGAGCTGTTGCCTTCCTGTTGGTTTGAAAGGCAGCATGCTCCAAAGGCTCCCCCTTAGCCAAGTCCCAAGAGGTAGCAATACTATGAAGCAGTGTTTATGTTGAGTGGCCAAGGAGAAGGGAGGAAAGGTGATGCCATGGAGTTAGGTTTGGATTTGGGAATGGAAAAAGCATCACTGGGGCATTGCCTTGAGATGGGATGCTATGCAGAGGGACCTGGGTGGGCTGAGCAGTGGGCAAACCTCACAAGATTCAACAAAACCAATGCAAAGTCTGTGCCCTGCTATCAGTGTGGGCTCTGAGCACCCAGTGGAGCTTTGGCTGTCCTTGTTCATGGACCAGGTGGCCTTTCAGCATCCCTTTGATTCAGTGATTCTAAACAGTGTGGACAATTGCAGGGACAACACTGGGTATCTTCTGTGTTTCAGGACAACTCCACATCCTCTCCCTCCTTCTTTTCCCAATAAGAAGGCAGACATCAGGAGCAGAAGGACCTCCACATTTAGTAAAAAAAGGAGTAGAGAAGGGCCTGGAAATCAAACTGATTTAAAATGTGTTCTTAAAATGAAACCTGGATGCTTTGCTGGGAGATGAGTTGTTTCTGCAAGTCTTTTTGTGTTGAAATAATGCAACAGGAGTGTCCTTCTTAAGGTTACTGGGGAGTGTCCAGAGTCTTTTCCTGGTACTTAGAACGGAAACGTGTTTGAATTGGAGCAGGACTGTGGGAGCTGTGCTTCCTGCCAGCACAGTGACAGCAAGAACGAGCAGTAGGCTGAGAGGTTGTAAGTAACAACACTGCACATCCATCTCAGGTGGCCTGAATACAGCAAGAAGCAGAGCAAAAGCTGTTCCCAGGTGGCACCTGAAGAAACAGAGGCTGTTTCAGAGATTCAGGCTGTACCAAACCTCCCAAAGCACCCCCATCCATGGGGACACCGGTCCTGGCTTTTCCTTTTGTGGTTGAATGGGTATCTCATAGAGGAATAAAACATCCACTGTTGCTGCAGATAGCATTGGAGAGCCCTTATGTCTAACCAACCCCAGTGGTTTCTTCTTGGTTTGGTTCATGGCTGTGTTTATGAGCACTGTACCCGAGGGGGGAAACAAAAGCAATTAGAGCCAGGAAGTGATGGTGAAACGTTCTCAGATCACTGGAAGCCTTAAAATAGGGTTTGGAGATGGCTGCCTCTACATTTCCTTCACTTGCTGTCCTCCTCAGAGTGGTTGCACTCTGCAGTGCATGGGGCCAGAGGCTGCTGGTTGTGGCTCAACCCAATTTGTGTTAGGATGACTGTCCTGAATCACAGAATGGCCTGGGTTGGAAGGGACCTCAAGGATCATGAAGCTCCAGCCCCCACCACAGGCAGGGCCACCAACCTCCACATTTCAGAGCAGCCCAGGCTGCCCAGGGCCCCATCCAACCTGGCCTTGAACACCTGCAGGGATGGACGGGGCAACCGAGACCTGAAGGCCATAACAGTGCAGAACTAAAGCTGTATCAGTGCATGCTGCTGTGACAGAGACAGATTTTAATTTCTTTTTTGACTTCTAGCAGAAGGCAAAGGGAGGATAAGATGGAATCTGTGCTGCAAGTTCAGAGAAGGAAGAAAATTAGAATCACAGAGGCATTAAGGTTGGGAAAGACCTCCAAGATCATCCAGTCCAACCATCCCCCCACATGGGCATGCAATAAACAGCTCTTAGCAAACACCTTCATATATGAACATTGAGAGAAAGCCAAGCAATGGACCCAACAATATTTCCATCAGTTGGGAAACTGCTCTTGAAGTAATGTTGATCTTGGCTGATGGCATGTTGCACCCACTGAGGGCAGGTGCAGTCATACAAGGGGCTTCTGGTTGCCTGCTGCCTTGGGCCCGATGCCTTTTTGTTTGATTTAAGCTATGTTGGCAGGAAAATGAAGCAGGCATAAAGCATTGCTGCTGGAGGGAAGAGGTGGGAGCTGTGCTTACAGAGTGGGGATGGAGGAAGGAGAGAGCTGTGTTGTGATGGAAGGGATTAAAAGGTCAGTGGTGCGTCAGCAACACTGGAGTTGGTGATATAGTGATAGATGTGGTGATATAAAACAAGCAACAAATTGACAAATGCACCTCTTTCGGATTTATGAGTAAGAAAACAGAAAGAAAACAAGTCTGCATTTGGTGCTTGTGACTTTCCTGCAGGAAGGTTGGGTACGATTTCCATTTGAACATCTTGAAATAGCTCCTGGCTGAGTTGGAGAGGAGCAGAAGCAGCATAAAAATAATCTGAGGATCCGAGAAAACACAGCAAGGGAAGCTGGTTGGTTTGCAGAGAGCACCGGGCTGCAGTAACAACACAGAGAAAAAGCACCCAGCACTGACTGTGTCCTCTCATCTACCTGAGGAAAGCACACCTCACATCACTGCCCTGCAGGGAAATCAGGCAGCTCAGGTTGGAATGGGGTGTAGTTGTGCTGGGGAGGTGGGCTGCCTTCAGTAATGGATAATGGAAGGAAAAACGTGTGCTTTTTGGCTATGGAAATACCCATCTCTGATGGCTTTTCTTTAAAATGGCACAGGGTTTTGGTGTTGTCTGGTATCAGAATGAGGTTGTGGGTACCTGGGTGGTACTTCAGGGCGTGGGGTTTGGTGAAGCTGAGATTTCATCAGGCCCTTTGAGTTGATGCATCTCTGAACACAGCTCTTCTTTCTGGGCAGATGGAAAGAATTGCAGAGCAGCACCAAGCATTGTTCACCAGTGTCTGTGTTATGGAGGAATTGTGTTAGGAGGCAATGCAGTTTGCTAATTGAAACATTCATTTTTTTACCTAATGGGCCAAGCTGTGCGTTAAAATTACTGTCTTATTCAAGTTCATAGAATCACAGAATGGCTTGGGTTGGAAGGGAGCTCAAGGATGATGAAACTCCAACCCCCCACCACAGGCAGGGCCACCAACCTCCACATTTCACAGCAGCCCAGGCTGCCCAGGGCCCCATCCAACCTGGCCTTGAACATCTCCAGGGATGGACGGGGCATCCACAGCCTCTCTGGGCAGCTGTTCCAGCACCTCACCACTCTCACAGCAAAGAACTGAACGTTCCTGTACAAGGTGGCACTCTGGGCAGGGCATCCTTGGCTCTCTGCTCCAATTTGCAGACCTGAAGGCAAGCACTAAAAATACTGCAGGGCAGGTTGTCACTATTGGGAATGGCATCGTAGCACTGAGAGTTAAGGCTAGAAGTGTCAGGTTTAGTTATAAAGGGGGATGCCTCAGACCTGTACGATGCTGGGTTGTTCTGAATGTGGTGATGGGTGGTGGCTGGAGATCTTCATTTAGGATCAGTGGAGGGGAGGGGTTTTTGGAATGCAGCCACCTGTAAAATTGCTGTTTACAAACTTTCTCCTCCAAAATGATCTCATCCTCAGTGTTTACCTCTGGCTGGTTGTGCCCTTGGAAAATAACATAGAGGAACTTGTGGTGATGAAGTCTGAATTGCAGGAGTGGAAGTGATGCAACGGGGATACTGGAAAGCACGTGAGCAGTGAGACAAAGGCTCTGTGTGAACCTGCAGAAAGTGGTTGGGTGTCTCCAGACCTGTTCTGGTCATTGATCCCAAGCCCTTCTCAAAGCACTTGTCAGAGAATGTAACAGTGCATCGATGAGCTTTGTCTGTATGTTAAACCTCCCTGTTCTTGCTGATTGGAGTGATGTTTGAAGTGATCTAAGAATACTTCAGCTGTATTGTCAAGGGAGTCAGCCCTAAATAAATCATAGGGAAGATGAGATCCTTGCAAGCGTTTGGATAACGTGAGCGAGCTGAATGGGTTTTGACCTGTTTTCTCAACACTGGGATGAGATGGATGAAAGAAAAATCATCTGGCTCAGGGACTTCTTTGTACCAAAACCTTCTAAAAGAGGAAACCTTCCCTTCCAGCTAAGGGAAGACAGCAGGAAGGTGTGGGGAAGAGCTTTTGTAACGAAAGAAATTGGAGCAGCAGGCTCTGTCTTCTGTACCTGTGCTTACCCATAGGGATCTGCCATAGGAGACTTAGGGTTGGCTCATAGAAGCCAGATAGTTCCTGTTTTGTTCTTTTTAATCCAAAAAAGTGGTCGGTCAAGCATTACATACAACTTCCAGTGCTGTAAAGATGTGAGTTCCTAGAAAGCTGGGGAAAAAGAGAACTGAAAGAGAGGGATGGTGGTCATCACCATAGATCATGTGTGAAGCCTTGGAGTGAGGCAAGTGGAAATCATTCTGTTCCCACCTCTAGTGAATAATATTTCCTGCAATTCCTGCCCATCTTTGCTCCTCAGGAGGGGATTTAGAACTTCGTGTCCATGCTTCATTCTCAGACAGAGGAAGAAGTTTATGATTTCCCAGCATTTCACTGTTGCAGTGACAAGTAGATTTGGTGGTCAGTTGGCGATGGAGCTTGCAGAGAGAAGAGGTGAGGCTGGGAATGAGGAGGGAAGCATATGGATGTGGTGGTACTTGGGGTTGTGCTTCCTTAGGGGTGTATCAGGCTGGATATTAATAAAATGTTTTGCTCAGTTTGGGCACTGGCACAGCTGCCCAGGAGTGGGGAGGGTCAGCATCCCTGGGGGTGTTCCAGCATCATGGGGATGTGGCACTGAGGGATGGGGGGGTGGGTTGGGGGTGGGTTTGGGGGTCTCGGTTGTCTCTCTGATGCTGTGGTTTTAATCACGTATTTTTGCACAGAGAGCTGAGACACAACCATTTGTTGGTGTGGCCTAAATGCACCAAGACAACGTGTGAAGCTGAAATAAAGAAACATGGGACGTGTTTTGTTGGAGCAGCGTGGAAGTGGCTACGCAGGGAGAGATGATAAAGGCTGTGCTTGTAGCAGATTAACGGGGCTGCACAGATGTTTGGGAGCAGATTATTGGGCAGCACACACTACTGCGTGCCAGGGGTGAGCCACCTGTGCTGCACATGGATGGGAAGAATCATAGAATCACAGAATGGCCTGGGTTGAAAAGGACCACAGTGATCATCGAGTTTCAACCTCCCTGCTATGTGCAGGGTTGCCAACCACCAGACTGGGCTGCCCAGAATCCCTTCCTTGTCTACATTTGACAAGCAGGAGCTAAGGAATGGATCCGCAGTGGACAGAGGGCCATTAAGTATTTGTCAGAAGCATATTTGTCCACCAGTCACATTTCACATCACATTTCTTGCTTTTCAGAAAATCCTTGCATCTTCGTAGCACGTTGGACATTCAGTACATCTCAACAGGTCTCAACATTTAAATTGCAGATTTGGCCTCGAGTGTCCAGAAAATGAGAATTACATCATTAGTTAATCAACTAGAAAGAATTGGAAAGGTGAGCATTACAAGGAGGCTGTGTGACAGAAGCTGGAAAGGACAGGTTCCTTGGGGCAGCATTTTTCTAGATGGTTAACAGCAAGACTGCATTTGCTGTTCTTGCAGTTCCTTGCTGTTCTTACTGTGTGCCATCCAGCTGGAGACAGCAGCTTTGTTCACTGAGGGGTATTTTGTTCCTTGGGGTGGTTAAGATAGGTGTTTTAGCAAAAGAAGTGATTGTGAAATGCCATTTCTAAACTCTCATGTCCACTCCATTCTTCAGTTATTCTTTTTGTTGTCTGGCTTTGTAATCTCAAGGGGTTTTGTCACGTCAAGTTATGATGAAGAGCTGCTATGGAAGAACAGGAATTATAATGTGGTGCTGTGTTGATCCTTAGGGCTTTAACAGCAAGTACAGGCCTCCAGTGTTAATGGTCAGGGTGAGGTTGATACTGCTGGTGTGATACATTGGAAAGGACTCGTGTTCTTAATGGTCTGCTCTTTTCAGATGTTTACAGAATATTACAGAATGGCTTGGGTTGGAAGGGACCTCAAGGACCATAAAGCTTCAACCCCCCACCACTTCAGGGCCACCAACCTCCACATTTCATACTAGACCAGCCTGCCCAGGGCCCCATCCAACCTGGCCTTGAACACCTCCATGGATGGACGGGGCATCCACAGCCTCTCTGGGCAGCTGTTCCAGCACCTCACCACTCTCTCTCTAAAGAACTTCCCCCTGACATCCAACCTCAATCTGCCCTCCCTCAACTTCAAACCATTTCCCCTTGTCCTGTTGTCCCCTTGTCCTGTTTAATGCTGAAGGATGTTGAAATTGGAAACATCCAATGGCTATAGCAAGGGGTACCAATGGGCATAGCAATGAGGGTCTGCAAGGACCCTGGCTGGGCTTGTGGGGTGGAGCATGGGGCCCATTGCCAGCATACACAGAGGGCCAGGGTGTCAGAGTAGGACGATGAACTAATCTGTGTTTAATTGTGCAAACTGATATATCAGAGCTACAGTTTTCATAGGTCTGTGATCTTGCCAAGTTAAGGCTGATTTTTAACATACTTAATAGCATATAATCATAGAATGACAGAACTGGGTTGCAAAGGAGCACAATGCTCATCCAGCTCCAACCCCCTGCTATGTGCAGGGTCACCAACCAGCAGCCCAGGCTGCCCAGAGCCACATCCAGCCTGGCCTTGAATGCCTGCAGGGATGGGGCATCCACAGCCTCCTTGGGCAACCTGAATCTTTAATATCAGTTAACTTAACCTCACCTTTTGGTCATAGAATCACCAAGGTTGGAAAAGACCTCCAGGATCATCCAGTCCAACCGCCCACCTACCACCAGTGCAATCCACTGAACGTGGCCCTCACTACAGCATCTACATGGGCCTTGATCAAATTGTTTAACCAAATTTGAGATACAGAATACTCAGGAGGAGCCTGGATGTTCTCAGTGTCAGAAGAAGCAAACTAGTTCAGTTTTTCAGAGCTGAAGCCCAGCAAAAGACATCATGAGTCAGACACCAAATGCAGAAGAAATGAGGCTTGAGCAATTATAACCAATTCACATTGCAGCATCACCAAAACCAAGTAAAGGCCGTTTCTCACTTCCCACTACTAATGTTGTCCATAGCAGTTGCAATAAATCATCTAGATTGTGGACAGTTATTCATAAAGGTCCTGTGCTTTTAATGCACTGAAAACTACGTTTGTTTTATTTAGCAGGAGAAAGTACACAGAAGTACCATACTTGATGGAAATGTCGGTTGCAGCAGTTAAATTTTGCTGTTCTGCTTGCTGAAGCATGTAAGAGGGTGAGAGAGACCTGGGAGGACGTTCTGACGTTTTCTAGTATTGTTTTTTTGTTACAGGCTCTGCGTGACATTGTCCTTGACAGGCATCACAGAGCGTTAGCGATGCTGCCTTGGCTGATCTAACATTGCTGCCTATAATGGGATTTCATGTAGCTCGCTGAAAACATCACAGCTGCCTATAGGAGAAATGGTTTTATGTGAGCATTTTGGATGGCATCTGTATGGCTTTCACTGGTGTTTGAGCCGAGCTCTTTGTAAATGCACCAGCACATGCCAGGGGATGCCCATAGGCTTCTCTGTTCTCTTACAACCTGTTTATCTGAGCTGGGCTGAGGCTCCTGACCAGCTGTGGCTTTACCTTCCATCTCCAGCTGAGTTTGGATAGAAAGATGGAGCAACTTCCCTCCTTCTGATTCCTTTTCCTGCCCATGACCACGCTTTGTGGATGACAGGACTGTGTGGCACAGACACAGAGGATGTGTGACATGGTCTCATGTCATGTCATACAAATCAGAATTGCACGCAGCCGCTCACTCCGAGTGCCAGCTTGAATTTTAATCTTTTATAAACCACTTGATTGTTGAATATTACAAAGAGATGTGCCCCCCTTGGAAGGAATCTAGAGAACCCTGCATTGAGTTAATTGGATACAAATTTGAGTGTTTTTTTTTTTTTAAATGAAGATTAAGTGATCTATTCAACTATTTCAGGCTCTACTTGAGACACACACACACCTGTATTTGGCTTCCAGAGGATTTTCCTCATTAATTAGGAGCGCTTTTCTTATGCTATTACTTAATTGGATGTCACCAGGAACCTGATGAGACAATGAAGTGGTCTTAATTGCATACAAATGCAGTGCATGATGCTTCACGTACTGGGGTGCTCCATGGCACGACCCGTTGCTTGTTATCATCTACTAATAGCAGTAGTAATTGCTCAGATTAAAAAAAAAAGTAGCCCATTAGATTCAGTACGTCGTTAATTAAGCACTTTTCTTTCCCATAGACAGCTCTCCTATTTCTCATACTTAAGAAGTTCTCCAAGTTTGGTAACGTGTGGTTTCAAAACGTCCAAACAACCATTGTTGGCTGCTGCTGTGAGTTTGGAAAGGGACATCTGTGCCCCTGTGGGGTGGAGGGAGTGATAACTTTGTTAAGGACGTGGTTTCCAGTTCAGAAAGCAAATGGGATCCTGGGCTCCATCAGAAGAGGGGTGGCAGCAGGGACAGGGAGGGGATTGTCCCTCTACTCTGCTCTTGTGAGGCTCCATCTGCAGTACTGTGTCCAGGTCTGGAGCCCCCAGTACAAGAAGGACAGGGAACTGTTGGAGAGGGTCCAGAGGAGCCACAAAGATGATCAGAGGGCTGCAGCACCTCCACTACAAAGACAGG